AACATACTATTCTAGATACTAGAAATATGAGTGAAAAGAAAGGGGGAAGACAGAAAAATTAGAAAAAAATCTCCTCCTTCACAGAAATAAGGAAATAAATAAGTAGACCTATAGTGATAAGTACTGTAGAAGTAAGACAAGACAAGGGGATGGGAAGCACCTTGATTTGGGGGTGACTGTGTGTGGGGAGGAAAGGTACAGTTTTGGACAGGATTAGTAGGAAAGGTCTCTTTGACATGACAATTGAGCCAAAACCAGAGGAAGAAGAGGAGGGAGGGAAAACAGATGCAAATGCCCTGGGGCAGCAACAAGATTGGTGTGTTCAAGGAACATTTCTGGGATTCCCAGAAATGGAAATCTTTATACACTTGAAGCATTTTTATACACTTGAAGAAAGACCTCTCCCTTTATCTCACCTATCCCTAGAAAGGGACATTTCAGACTTATTAATAAAAATCATTATCTTAATCTATTTTTATCAATCTGGGACCCAAGTCAGAAATAGGAGGATTGCATGAGATCAGAGGGCTCCCTTATGGCCTTTGGCTATTTGTAAAATGAAGGATATTAACTAAAGCATCTATTTCAAGTCATTGGGGCTTTTACTCTATTGTCATTTTGTTGCTCTTTTCTTTCCCTCTCCCATCCCCCTACTTTCCCTTATGTAAACACACCTGAAAGTGAGCGGGCTCATTGATCAAGCCCTCTAAGTACTTCTTTCTTCCTCTATCCTGTCATTTAGCACACACAGTTTCTTTAGGGGGTGGGGGTCTGCCTTTAGCTATCCACTCTGTGTTAAGTGCTGCCAGTGACCTTCACATCATTAGCAAGATCTTCGTCAGTGAGGAAGGGAGGATATTAAATCAATTAAATAATAGTCAAACCATTCTAACGACGTAAATTGAAAATTGCTTGAGGAGAGTCCAAAACATGTAGAATTAGATTCAAGTCTAAAAGTGTTATCTATAAAAGAAAAATATGAATAGTTAATAACACCTAGCTAATATTTAGCTAAGGCTAAATGGGAAAGAACTTAAAGAAGGCCAAGACAAAGCAGACCTCGAGAACATAGGTTCTCTTTTATAAATCGGTGAGTCAAAATAATTTAGGCAATAAATGAATAATTGTGGGATAAGATTAACTAGGTGTTTTAAGGTTGCTGAAGATCTTAAATTGCACCAATTTAGCAGAGAGTAGGTTCAGCATGTTTTAATATAGCAATTAGCTCCCAGCAAATGAAGGGAGCTTAAGTATTCCTGTTCATGTATAAGTCTCTGCCATGTGAGATCATCTCTAACATTTGCCGAGTTGGGATTAGAACCACAAGGCTTTGGATTGAAAAGGAATTTTCTTCATCTGTAAAATGAAGGGGTTGGAAGAATTGAGATTAAATATCTTTCACTTCCAAGAACCCATAAAATCTAGAGAGGCTAAGGTTGGTTCCCAAAGCTGCACAGCTGGTCTGTGCCAGACTTGGAAAGTGGACTTGGTTCCCAGGATTCTCTTTACGCTGTAAGTCAATTCCGCATTTTCAAAAAATTCAGTCAGCTCAGTCATTTGACACAATGTAGATAAATAACCATCCTACTGGGTTGGATTTTTTTCTCCATTTTAATCAGTTTTCATGTCATGTAAATATAACCTCAGGGATATCACTAGCTAAAAAAGGAGCAAAGCTTGAACACAATTGTGCTTGGAGCCAGCTGCATGACTTAGTAGAACACAACAAACTTGGCCTTTAGCATTGGGACCAGGAAACATTGGATTCAATGCTTTCAACGTGCAGATTTGTGCAGCAGTGACATGAAATGAGACCTGACCATGAAAAGCAAAATGCCCATATATGGATAAAAATATAAAATTGTGACAAAATTCTGCATTATCAAGACTATGAAGAACAAGTATTGTCATACATTTCTGGTATAAACACAAAGTGGTGCAAACTTGTAGAGAGGAATTTAGCAACTAAGAGAATTACAAAGACGTTTACTTTTTAAACTGTTTCTAGAAATCTAGTCCAAAGAAATAATAGCAAAATGTGAAAAGCTATTAATTTCAAGGTTATTAATTTCAATACCATTTATAATTGCAAAAGATGAGAAAGAACACAAATGTCCATCAAAAGATGACTGGTTGAATTGACTATGGGGTACTCTGCAGCTATAAAAGAGAATGAGAAAGATCTGTAAATAGTGCTATGAAGTAAGTACTTTCCAAAATACTATAAATTAAAAGACAGTAAGGTGAAGAAGTAGCATATAGTAGAGTATGTGAACGTTTGTGAATTTGCTTTGACTTAAAAGTAGAAAGGTAACTAAAAACCAACAAAAATGGTGAAAAATTAGGGTCAAGGGGACAAGGATAGAAGCTAGATTTTTCTTGTTTTGCTCTATGGTTTTCATTTTAGAATTCTGTCGATATTTAATATAATTTTAAAACAAAAATTAAAAACAAATGAAACAAATGAATTGTATATTGACTTGTGACTTAACTACACAGAGAAATTATTTCAAGAGCTCTTAAAACAGAGTAATTTTTAACTGTTTATCTCTAGTGGAATATATCCAAAAGTTAAAAAGAATCACAACAAAATCCTAAGCAATTTTCAATAATCATAATTTTAGTAATCATATGTGTATTATAATTTTGAAAATATATACTTTAAACAAAAAATAAATTATTTTAATGTAATAGGGAGACAAAAAATAAGCAGAAAAAAATTAAAATGCAAATAAAAATTCAAAGCAGTTAAGTAAATTTGAATTAAAAATATTAATATGAATGTATGATATTATTTGTCCTTCAAAAAAAATAAAAATATTTAGAAACAGTGACCAAACCAGTAGCAATGAAAACCCCTGGTGCCCAAACTTTGATCTATAAATATATTTCCATATTAGAAAGAACCAAGGCTTCTTGGAGAAATGGCTGGAACCAAGCCAGGGTAGAGAAGACAAACAAGATAAGATTGGAACCTGTAGTCCTACCCAAAACAAAAAACCTGTGAAAGACCATTGGATTCATGACAAAAGTATATAGGAGAAATCTGAAGGGACTCCCAGTTATCAACAATAGAATATTTTGATCACCGAAAGAAAATGACAGCAGTAGATTGAAATATATCAACTATGTTCAAACTCATGTGTTAATATGACACTTAAAAACTTTCTTTGGTCATATGTGGAAGATCCTGGAGAAAGAACTTATTTCAAAAGAAAAAAAAGAAAATTAGTAAATAAAGGAAAAGAATTAGTAAATAAAGGAAAAGAATCAAATGCATTTTTTCAAATGCTATCATGAGTACTCAAATAATTGATCTGGAAAACTATTTCTTTATGGGAGAGTACCAGTTAATAAATGCAAAAGGTAGGACAGAAGTAGCATATCACTAGTTTGTAAGCCCTAATAAATACTGAAATTAGCAATAACCATCAATGGGAACTAAAGCCAGTAGCTGAAATGTGGAACTCTAAAATGTAAAGCTTCTCAAACTTTAATGTGCATATGAATCACTTGAGGATATTTTTAAATTCAAGAATCTGATTCAATAGGCCTGAGGTTGAGCCTGAGAGTCTAAATTTATAACAAGCCACCACAGGGTGCCAATACTGCTGGCCAGAGGGTCGTTCTAAGAAAGAGAAAAGTAGTCCTTTGACATTTGGGAGCTGGCCTGGTACTGTCAGACTGTCCTTAGTGTTCTCTTGTTGAACATAAATAGTTTCACAGAACAAAATCAGAAAAAGTCATTCTGTGACCATCATGGATCAAGACAAAAACAAGACTACTATGTAATCAAGTCTAAACACAAATAATGAACACTGTCCGAAGCACAAAACTGACCAAACCCCACCCCTCATCTTGACTATATAAATGGCCACTGCTTCTTCCCTAGTTGTAGCTTTAGGCTCAATCCAGTCTTCTTTCCTTCTAAGAAAGATTTACTAAAATTCCCAATTACTTCTGTTTCCTGACAGCATCTAATCTGAAGCAAAGACCCAATTCCTTAAACCCTCCCTAAAATCACCAAACACAAGCCCAAGTCCTATAATGAGTCCCTTCTAACACCTTTTGAGAGCATTCTCTCTCATTACAACAAGTAATAAACACATCTTGTTCAACTACAGGTGTGTTTGGTGGTCTTTGTTGGAGTAGCAATTCAATAGTGAAGTGGATCAGTCTAACAGCTGAATCACTAATTACTGTGTGCTTCCTGACGTGATGCTATAGAAATTTGCAGCACCACCTATAGAGTATTCGTGCCAAAAAAGACAAACCTGAATCTAATTAAGCCTCTAGATTTAACCATCAGTTTATAAGAAATACAAGGGATAGAGAAACAAATGAGGAAACATTCAATTCTATCTCAAGACAAATTTCCTTTTTTTCATCAAATAAATGACAAGACAAAAAGAAGATGGAGGGAGAACATATAGATTAAAAGAGACTCAACACTCATATCAATCAGATGTAAAATGGAACCCTCGTTTGGGTGTTAATTTGTACAAGCTACTACACAAACTAATAATTATAATGACAAAAAGGGAGTGTAGGTGGATATAGATAAAAACATTGGCCATATTTGATAATTGCTGAAGGTATATTACAACATTTTGACTCTCCTTACTCTTAATATGTTTGAAAAATTCCATAGTAAACAATTTTTTAAAAATACTTTTACTATTTCATTCAATAGATCATTTTTGAAAAAAGTTAAATATAAAAAATTAAAGACTGTATCTCAAAATGGATATATATTCTAGAGAAATAAACTATGATAAATTTTAAAGAGTCTTTCCCACTACTGAAATGACTTTCAGATTCATTTTTTGAGTTATTAGAATATTCACCTGTTTCTTTTCTTTTTTATCACTAACAGATGTGTCAACTTCAAGTGAAGAGGAATAAAGAATTATTATGTAGACTTGGATGATGATCTTAGAGAAACATTCAATTTAAATGTTTGAATCTTATAGCGAAGAAAACGTTATTTGAGCAATTACCTGGATCTGTAGCAGACATCAGTGAACCAAAAAACAAACAGTCGGTGAAATGGAAGTCTCCGTTTTTCAACTGGCCAACGTATACCATAGACTTCACAAAGCCATACATAATTAACCTGTTGAAGAGAAAAGATCTTCAAACATCAGGTTGAATTCTATACAAACTCATGCCATGATAGCTAACATTTAATGTGTTTCCTAAATAAGCATCATACACAAATTACATCATTTTGCCAATTCATGGCTATGCTAGCTCTCAGTACACTATCTAAATCTCTTGACTATGAAAGACATTTTTACCAAATATCGCAACTCATTCATCTGGAAAAATGTAACGAAACATTTTATGGTATATTTCAATGAAAACAAGATAAATCTCAAGGATATAAAAATAATCTGTCAAGTATGGCATAGCAAATCATGCTTACAAGTACAGCGGCTTGGCTGACATCTGTAAATGGATTGCTTTTCGGTTTTCATCATTGTTTTGTCTGCCAGGCATGTCTAGAAAGGTTTAAATTTCTAGTCTGTCACTGTGATGAGAAGGGTATTGGCCACTCACAGGGGACCTATTCAACCAGTTATTTTATAGTAGATGAATCTCTACTACTGCTGGTGTCAGGATACTTCGACAATGGGTGGAGAATCACTGTTAGATTAGAGCACCTGTAACTTCAACACATTGTTAAAAATGAATCCTGAAATAGTTATGTTTTGATCCTGCAAGGAAAGCTGTTTTTTTTTTTCTTTTTTCTTTTTCATGAGATTATTAGGTTTATGAACTTACCAAACCTACTCCATGGAATGCAAAGTGTCTCTTTTGGTCATCATTTGCCACCCTATGGCTTTAAATTATACTTAATTATTTAACTGACTGGCTAATTTTGATAAAATCCTAGCAGAGGAAACACAGAGATTGGTGAATTAGGTCACAGTAAAATCACTATAAGTGACTGCAAGAATCCTTAGAAACTATAGCCCCTCAGAGCAATAAGCGAATGTTTAAATATTCACATGAATTTAAAGTTAGTTTCTTAAAAAACATTCTAAGATTGTGAGCATGGCTAAAAAGGCTAGAAGTGAGATATTAGAAATTATAATGTCAAGGGGAATGTAGATATTTCAACTTCTGTTAAGAAAAATTTCTCTATGAAAGCATGTTTCAGGTATACCTGTATTTAAATTCAGATTCTAGCACCCACTAGCTATATGTTGTTAAGGTATTACTAAAACTTTTTGAGCCTCAATATCCTTATTCATGAAGTAGAAAAAATAATAGTTACCCCATAGAGTTGTTTTAAATATTATCTAAGATAATATACATTTGGTTTCTGGTACATAAATAAATTTTAAATGAGGTTATTGTTACTGGTAAAAATAATTATCAAAATAGGTAATATTTACTTATTATTTCTACTTCTCCGTATGTTTTAACTCATTAAATACACACATTGATCCTATAAACTAGATACTTTTTGTATTTTGCTGATGAGAAAACTGAACATGGTGTGATCAAGTAACAAGCTCTAGATGACACAGCGAGTAACTTGTGAAACCCAGATTTGAACTTCAGGGAATTGACTCCAGAGCCCAGACTTTTAACGCCTATGTCATATTCCCTAGATGAATAGTTCTATATTTTATATTATCTCATAGGATATACTCACAACTACCCCATTAGGTGGTTACTCTAGGTAGCACAAATAAGCAGCAATGGAGTGTACCTAAGAACTTGGAAATAATACTACTCTTTGTGTTGAACCATTGAGACAACAATTAGTGAGTGTGAGCAGAGACATTGCTGTGGAGAGTGTAGGGGAGGCTGAATCTTAACTAGGCTAAAAGTACTGACATATCTGAAAGACTATGCCATGGGACACAGCAATGTTTGCTGGGAAGAGGCAAATCCAAGTGGCCTCAATCATGGCAGCTCATCCACTCTTATCTTGAGGAGGGTCTGCTGGTTACCAGGGTGTGCAGCTTCTTGACAGGTGTAGGGTAGCTTATTCAGCTTATTTGTTCATTCAATAGACATTACTATTGAACCCCTACTATACTTCAAGCTCAATGCCTTAGATACATCCATGACAAAAACAAAGATCTCTGTTTGAATTTTAGCAAGACAGACAGAAATAAAAAAAATAATAATAATAAATTTGAATTTTATCTGTTACCTACACCACTCTCTGAATTATAATCTACAGGTCTGATTAATACTGGGACATTTTGGCCAGTCATGACATTACCACTAAATTGCTCTCAGACAGTCATCCCTTCATCCTCTTCTAATGTTAGCCCAACGTCACCAGTCTTTTCTTATTTGAGCTATTTTTAAATATTAAGCATCAACAGACTCTGGAATCAATATAAACTTTATGACCTGTGACTGTGTTTTTTTAATTCTCTACTCATTAGTTAATTTTACAGGTTAGGAATCCGAAGCTCAGAATTAAAATGACTTGCTCCATTTTGCATAGAAGCATTAGACTAAGATAAAAAACATATATGCAATATAGTACCCAGGCTTGGCAAGTTATATGGAAACTATAAGTCTTATGTACTATTGATGAAAATAAAATTAATGGTTTCCTATGCATTTATAACAAAAGTAATCAAACACGAACCAAAAGGTGTATATTCGGATTATTTCTAATTACTATTATTTATGAGTGAAAAATTCAAAGCAATTTAATGTTCAATGAATAAATTATAGAACAATTATATGATGGACTAATATGCAATTATTAATTCTGTATACAAGACTATACATTGTATGCAGACAAGTAAATTGATAAAGCAAATTATTGACTGGTAGTAAATGATAATTTCTAATTTTACAAAAATTAAACATGCCTAGACATTCACATAAACAGGAAAAGACCAGAAGCATGTAGTCTAGGATGCTAATAGTGGTTACATAATGAAACTAAATGTGATTGTTTTTTTTTTTTTTGGTTTTCTTCATTTTTCTAGTTATTCTTAGATAACAGTCATAACAAAAACAAATAACAATGTACATTAGTGAGTGCTATTATGTGACATAATAGAAATTCAATGTATCATTTAGCTCTCAGAATTCTGAGTTATGTTCTTTTTACAAATGAGAAAATTAGGACTCAGAGATATTAAGTAATTTGCATAAGGTCACAGAAGTTAGCTTGTGACAGAGCTAGATTTGAAACCAGGAAGTTAGATGTCAAAGCCTACACTATTAACCAACAACTCTATAAAACTTTTAAATGGCTTTGAAATCAGGAGAAACACATGTGCATGTACACACACACACACACACACACACACACACAAGCAAAGAAATTTTTTTTTAAAAGAAAGTTAATTATTTATTTACTCCAAATCAACTCCTGGACATAAAATAATTATAATTCCAAAATCCCAATAGTTTCTTTGAGATAATACCAAAAAACTAAACAAAACAAACAACCCCCCCCCACACAAAAGCTAGGTTTAGTACAAGCTCAATATGGTCATTATTGACAAAGGTCATTATCACCAGTAATTATAATAAGGCAATAATTAGCATGTATCTACTATGCCCAGTCACTCTTTTATAAGTTGTAGCTATTGTCATTGTTGCTAATAAAAACTAGTTATAATAATATCAACTCAGAGGCTAAAAAAATAAACTCATTAGCAACCATCATATTCTCAAAGAGTGGTGTATTCTATCAGTACTTCACAGAAAGTATTTCTTGAGGATGCAGGAAAGATATGGTTTGATGGGGAGAGGGAATTCAGTGAAGTCCAATGCATGCAGTGCTGTGAAGATGGCAGACCTCAGCGAAATGTCCTCCAGGGGTCAATCTATGGTGAGTGACAGCCCAGGTTACAGGGTTAGGTAGAAGCAGAACTGCCTCATAAAAAGTAAAATCGATTGTTGATATCATTGATTTTAATTAATACTCACTATTCTTTATTAGTACTATTCTTTGAAAAGCAGAGTACTGTTGCCATGGAGGATTCGAGGGTGGAAATTCATGACCTGCCTTCAAAGAATAGAGCATTGCAGGATGGCAGTCATGTTACCTACACTAATAGAAGGCATTGTGTAAAAGGGAATTTAGGGACGTGTCCAACACAATGTTCCACATTCTCACTTTATGGAGGGTTTATGATGCATGTAGTGATTTTCAATTTTATGAGCTTGTTTCACACTATTAAATCTCCACACCTAAAGGCATGTTGTAAAAATGTTTCAAAACAAAAAGTTTCGGAAGGCTCAATTGCTTGGATAATTTTTAAGTATGTCATTTTAATCTCTCTCAGTATTTTTTAAAAAAGAAGTGCATCTTCTTTTTAAAAAATAGCCTTGATCAAGCTATGAATAGAAGTACTTTTTGAATTGCCAGAGATAAGCAAGGAGAGTTGTTATCAGTTTCGAGACATGGCTGTGTGGACTAGTCCAGTTAACTGTTAGAAGAGTCTTATATCTGCCTATGAAAGCATGTGAAACAAGTCACTATGTGGAGCTCAATAGTGGAAAAAAACCCAGAACCAATAGATTCTAGAAGCAATATTGTTACAGTCTGCATCTAGATTTCTGACTTCTATACCCAAATATTTTCCTCTGGATAAATATCTTT